TCTCTTAACAATACAGTGCAATTTCTAGGTCTCCCCTAATTGGAGCCTTGTCTACACTAGAGAAACTTACCATTCTAATAACTACTTGTTCCTACTAGGTCCCTGGTAAAATGCTTCATGTCTACATGCAGAAGTGCTCTAAATGGTTTACATGATGGTAAATACTGTTTGGATTAAACTTCATAGAATCATGGAAGACAGGACCAATGACAACTAAATCATCCCAGCCAGGGCTTTGTCAAGCCGGGTCTTAAAAACCTCTTAGAATGGAGATTCCACCACCTCCCTAGGTAGAATCATAGAACCCATTCCAGTGCTTCACCACCCTCCTAATGAAAATTTTTTTTCCTAATATCCAACCTCGATCTCCCCCTCTGCAACTTGAGACCATTGCTCTTTGTTCTGTCATCTGCCACTACTGAGAACAGCTGAGTTCCATCTTCTTTGGAACCCCCCTTCAGGTAGTTGAAGGCTGCTATCAAATCCCCCCTCACTCTTCTCTTCTGCAGACTAAATAAGCCCAGTTCCCTCAGCTTCTCGTAAGTCATGTGCCCCAGCATGCTGATCATTTTCATTGCCATCCGCTGGACTCTCTCCAATTTGTCCACATCCTTTCTGTAGGGGGGGCCCAAAACTGGATGCAATACTCCAGATGTGGCCTCACCAGTGCCGAATAGAGGGGAATAAACACTTCCCTCGATCTGCTGGCAATGCTCCTACTAATGCAGCCCAATATGCCGTTAGCCTTCTTGGCAAAAAGGGCACACTGTTAACTCATATCCAGCTTCTCATCCACTGGAATCCCCAGGTCCCTTTCTGCAGAACTGCTGCTTAGCCAGTCAGTTCCCAGCCTGTAGCAGTGCATGGGATACTGTGCTGCCCAGTGCAGCAGTCTGGGAGCTGACCTTGTCTGTGAAGACTGAGGCAAAAAAAGCATTGAGTACTTAATCATTTTCCACATCATCTCTCACTAGACTGCTTCCCTCATTGAGTAAGAGTCTGATACTTTCCCTGTGGGCAGCAGGTCAAGAGGAGCACGGCCCCTAGTTGATTCCTCCAGTATTTGCTCCAGGAAGTTCTCCCCAGCACTCTCCAAAAACTTCCTGGATTGTCTGTGCACTGCTGTATTGCTCTGCCAGCAGATGTCCCTATATTCTTTCATTTTCAACCATTTTAGTGCCAGTGTGGATTGTGGTTGCTGGCATAATATTTCAGACTGTTCAAATTCTTCTCCTGTTGCTTTCTCACAGTGTATCTGTGGCCTTTCAAAGTCTTCTAGAAGCCACTGCAAGAGGAGGGATAGCTCAGTGGTTTGAGCATTGGCCTGCTAAACCCAGGGTTGTGAGTTCAATCCTTGAAGGGGCCATTTAGCGATCTGGGGCAAAAATCTGTCTAGGGATTGGCCCTGCTTTGAGCAGGGGGTTGGACTAGATGATCTCCTGAGGTTCCTTCCAACTCTGATGTTCTATGATCTCTGGTATAGATACTCAAGAGGGCATTGCAACAGAACAGCACTAATGTGGATACATGGCAAAACTGCAGTGGCACGGAATAAGTATGGCTAGTGTAGACATACTAAACTGTGCTTAAACTGGTTCGTCAAACTGGTTCAATTAAGAATGGCTTAGTTCTCTAAGGTAGACAGGGCCTTAATGTTAGAGTGACAATGTGAAAGGGAAAATGTATAATTAACATAACATATGATTCAATTCTGCAGATTTACACATTTACACAGGATGGTTAATTGCTAGCTGTGAGAAACTAGTTTATTCAGCTGCTTGGAAATTCTAGGACAAATGCCCTTCCAACATAATGGAAAAAACTACTTGGCTGCTTTGAGAACCTACAGGAACTCTTCAGAAAGTGCTTGGAAAATTTGTAGGCTGCATATCAAAGTAACAATTCAAAACTGCAGAAGTATGATGTATGTCTGAAGCTAAAATAATTAAACCTGAGGTAACCTAATGACCTATAGCAATTTGTGCTCAAAACAAATTTAAAATTAAAATGGTCAGGAATTCAGTCAGGTGTTTCCTAAAAAAACAGTTTGTGCCAAGTAATTGCATAAAATATAGATTTCTCAGTTTCTTCACATTGGGAAAATGAAAGGGTCCTTTTACTAATGTACATTTGAAGGTCCTGAGCTCTGTTTTAGTCAGACAGAGTCAAGAGGTCATCTCTGTCTTGGTTCAGTGATGGATAGAGTATACCGTTATTATTCTCTGATTGATTGTGCCAGTCATGTCAGGGAGGGGTAGGAGCCAACATTAGAATTTCTTGTTTGTAATAGCATGATATGTAATAGGATTGTGGTGCCCTGTCTTTGTGAACCATGGGAAAAGCTTGCAGAGCAGCTGCCCACATCAACTGATTCTAGCTAGTACTAGGAGTCCTTCATTTTTTTGAGCACTGAAATTATAGAATTGTTATCTATTAATACATAACACAGATATATAGCTCACATATACTATATAAATATGTTCAAAGCACTGTATAAACATTAATTAAGCCTGATCACCCCTTATAAAGTAGGTAATTAAGTACTTTTCATTTTACGGATGTAAAAACTGAGACACAGGACCAAATCAATCCGTAATGTAACTCCATTATCTTTATTGTAGTTATATCAAACCCAGAAAGGTTAAGTGACCACGGTCATATAATCTGTGATAGAGCCAGGGATAGAGCTCAAGAAGTTCTGGCTCCCAAATCCTTGGTTGGTCCACCAGCCCATGCTACTTCTAACTACTCACCATCTGGGGTGCTACATAGACCATATTAAACATATAGTTATCACAGTACATTACCAATATTGATTAAAACATGTTATAATGTGGTAAATAATAACAAATACCAAGAACCTAAATCCAAATTGAACACCATCATTGAGTAAAGGGAAGGGGCAGGATTCCTACATATGATCTTAGAGTGCTATGAATTTTTTTTTAATGGATGTTTTCTGAGAGAAATACTTAAAATGAATTAATACTGACAAAATATTGATTGCCTTACTTTGGGTACAGTTTCATACCACTCTAAGCTCATACGTAGGAACCCCTACTCCACCTTTTATTCCCTTTGTTGAAGTTTCTGTTACTCAATCGATAAAGAGATACAGATATGCAGAGCACCCAAAGTATATTCTATCTGCCATTTTTAGTTTCAAATAGTGACCCTATAATCTGAAAGTGAGAGTTTTGAATTCAGCCCCGGGTAGGTAATGATTGAAAGTTGGGTGTCCCATCTGAAGTGAGCGGGTGGTTTTAGTTCAGGTCCCATGGGCAGCTGTTCCACTTCACAGAGAATACTATCACAGTTAACTTCCTTGTCAATAGCCTCAGCCTAGTGACCATGGAGACTGATCTGCCTTTTCAATACTCCAGCTCTGAAGTATGGAATATTAATGGAGTAGCCAGTGTGGATAAGCCTGGACTGCTGCTGTCTGTTTTATATGTAGAGGATGTCAATCTGTAGGTTTGTCAGTCTGACACTGTTCACCAACAGTGAATTCACTGACAATAGAAACTCTAGAGAAGGAAAAGCAACCACTCTGAATAACTATACAGTTGTTTTTCACACACACAAGATGTATGATCGGCTATAAAATTCTCATTTATTGGATAGTATGGAATTTTTCTGCAGATTGCCATGTTGTTTCAGTGTCAGAAACAAACCACAGAGGGTATCCATTCTTCTGGAATGTTGTTTTAAATTTTAACCTGCACATTTTCTGCAGTGACTTCTGATCGGGGACATCTGAGCCATTGTGTTATAATATCTAGCATACCCAGCTGTGCACCAGTGGGTGGCAGCAGACTGAGACATAAGCTTAGATTATTTAGTTATGCACAGTAGTTAAGCTCTGTTTGAAGGCAATACATTAGGCCTAGGTCCAATATACGTTTTTTTTCTTACAAGTTTTAAAATATGATCCCTTATTTTTCCACGCAGTATCCTGAATTTGCTATTGATTTTGGGTGATATTAAAAAAATACATGAAACTCGTGATTGTTTGGAATAGTTTGGGCTTACGCAGGGGTTTATTATAATAGTGTTTGATTTTTATTGGTCTAATAAAAGAGAAGAAAAATGTGCTAACAAATGTTTTATTTTTAAAACTCAGATCAGTTGCCAATCCTTTTAACTCTTACCAAGGTGTGTCCTTTTCTGAATGTTAATCTTATACTGGGGGAGAAGCAAGCCATATCTGAAAGTGCCCTCATGATGGCTTTTCACTAATGCAAACTCTCTTTTAAAAGTAGTGAATTGATGTGTATTTCACAGCCCATGAGTGTCACAGTTGGCTGAGTCAGGATACCAAGGGGTCAGAGGCAGGAGACAAACTGGAAGTCAGGAACCACAAGCCAGACACCAGGAGTCAAGCTGGGTGGGATGCCAGGAAGTCAAGCCGTGGGATGGGGAGCAGGAGCAGGAAGCCCAAGGCACACAGTCCTGTGCAGAGTAGGGTCCAGTTGTTTTGACAGCTTTCTGTTCCTGCTGCTGGCTTAAGCAGGGGCCAGCAGACCAATCCGCTGCTCTGGGATTCTGCCAGATAGGACCTCGGGGGTAGAGCCTCAAACTGGGACTGGGCTGTGTGGGTCCTAGGTGTAAACAGTTGTCAACAAGCTGCCAGGTGGAGAGTTGGAGTGTGGCCGCTCCCCTGAATCCTAAGGACGTGGGTTTAAGGCGTGTGGGTCATGACATCTGCTCCTCCCCTAGTGGCCCCCTCTGGGCAACGTAGGTCCAGGTTTCTCAGGGTGGCTCCTATGGAAGGCCCAAACCATGGCAGGAGCATGAAGATTTTCAGCTGGCTCCCAAGTGCATTCCTCCGGTCCATAACCTTCCCAGTCAATCAGGTACCATAATTTGCCCCTCTTGATCTTGGAATCAAGGATTTTGTGAACAATATATTCCTCCTGATCTTGTACTTGCACTGGCAGGAGTGATGATTGGGTTGTATGGGCCAATGTGTTCTCAGTGTAGGATTTTAGAAGTGAGACATGGAATACAGGGTGGACTCTAAGGGCTTCAGGGAGCTGGAGCTTGAAGGTGAGTGGGTTGATTTGTCATGAAATCTGGTACAGGCCAAGGTACTGGTTTTCTAATTTCCGAGAGGGTGTAGAGGCATTCTATAGACAGCCGTACCTTTTGTTCTGTGAAGTATATGGGGCCTTGTTGCTTATGCTTGTCTACCTGCTTTTTGTAGTCCTCCTTTCCCTTCTCAAGGTGGTCCTTCTCCTCCTCTGGGATGTGATGGATGCATTGTACTAGGTACGAGGCCAGTGGGTTGGGGGAGGATGTGGGTAGTTGTGGGTGAAACTGGGGATAGTATCCATAGTTGACCAAAAAAAAAAAGGAGGGCTGTGAACTGTTGATGCATGGTCTGCATTATTATGTGAGAATTCAGCATATGGTAATCAGGAAGACCAGTTGCCCTGGTGATGGTTGGTGTAGCATCAGAAGTATTGCTCTAGGATCTGATTGATTCTTTCCCTTTGGCCATTTGACTGAGGGTGGTAGGCAGAGGACAGGTGCATGTAGAATGCTAATAAACATAGGGCTTTTGCCAGAATCGAACAGTAAACTGGGCCACTGGTCAGAGTTGACATAATCCAGGAGGCCAGGCAGCTTCCCCTGCGTAAGGTAAACCATTCAGGGAATGAGGTGGGCCATTTTAGAAAAGTGATCCACCATGGTCAGAATGGTCATGAAACCACTGGATTCTGGTAGTTCCACCACAAGGTCCAAGGAAATGGCCTGCCAGGACTGAGATGGGGTGTTCAGAGGTTGGAGGAGATCACAGGGTTTTTGGCCTGGGATATTGGTGCGGGCACACATCTGGCAGGAAGTGACAAAGGTCTTTATAGTGGTGCACATAAGGGATCACCAGAAGTACCAGGACATTAATCATCAGGTTTTATATCATCCCAAGTGTCCTGCCACTGTGGAGTTGTGGCACAGTCTAATTCATCTTCTCTCAGCAGGCTTATTACTAAGATCCTTGGACTGGTCAGAGGCCTAGATTCTGGGATTCATCAGAGACAGAAGGTAGCATTGGTTCGTGAAGCCCCAGAACCACCAGCAGTTCCCATCGAACTGTTCGGGCAAGGGTATCGCTGCCCTGTGTTCGGGGCAAGGTGCTGTAGGCTGTGTTTGTGGTAGGGTGTTCTTGGCACTGAGCTGCCTCACTTGCTCCTGCAGCCACTGGTTTCCCCACTCAGCTGCACAACTTGGGCCTGCAGTGCTTGATTAGCCTCCTGGAGGCAGAGGGCCCATTTGGACGAGTCTGATGCTTATGGTGGCTGTGGTGATGCTACTGGGTCCATCCTTCTCGCATCTGGCTGGGTCCCACATGGATATTGTGATCCAAACAAGCTGTGGTTGTTTACTAGGGTCTGAAATCTGGGAATTCATAATATTGGGCATCTTCCTTTCAGCAAAAGTGTTGTTAGAGAAATACTGATATTGTTCACACAAGCAGTGGGAGATAGGGGAGAAGGGGGCTCTATTGGCTCTCTGCAGGATGTCCTTCTTTGACCCTTGATCCAGTTGTTAACTCCTCAGACTTGTGGTAGCTTGAAGTTCTACACAGCCAGTCTCTTTGGGAGGAGGATGTGCTGAACAACACCACAGTAAAAAAACTGAGTTGATTTATTTTACAATTTATAAAATATTCCCATGCCTAAGTAGTTGGGCAAATGTACACATCTATATATCTGCCCAGACAAAAACTGTGTTAAAATGGATTGAAGGTTGAGAATACGTGTATCAGTAATTTAGGGTAGAATACATTACAGGGATGTTCTGATATTAACATCATCCAGGATAGCAATTTGTCTGATACCAGGTGCTATATTTCTTAAAGGACTAATTATTAAATTAATTTTCAACATATTTTATACAAAATTTACTAAATTTAATCTAATGAAAAAAGATATTTAAATGTTTGGAAAATTTATTGTATTAAAAATTACAGCACTTACTCTTTGAGATCATATTCTGTATTTTTCCTACATAACAGAGGATGAATCACCACTTTAAGTGCAAAAGTCAACTCAATCTTAACTATGGAGCTGCACATTGCACCTCCATAATGTAGATATATAAAATACAACAAAAAATCGTATTGACCGTGGTCAGCTAAACTAAACTTCTTTAGTACAATCACCTTTGGACAAGAGCTTTATGCAGTGTCCAACTTGGGCTTTGGATTGACAAAGGGAGTAAATTCCAGACTTCTCTAACTTCAGGCACACAAAATTCAGATCCAGAGACTTAGCAGAAGTTTGCCTCAGCTACCATCATGATTTGGAGGAGTTCAAAGGAATTCTCATTAAGTGTTTTAGCTAGAAAGATGGAGTCTGTTCCATGAAGTCTCAAGTGGTTCAATATAGTTAAAACAGAAGTAAGTTGAGCCTAGTGGGAATCTGAGAGCTCCAGTGAATATGTGGAAGAATCCTCTCACCTTCTCCCCCTTTTCCCCAATAAAGATTTTAAAACAGAGCCAATATTCCATTATGATTTTGTACCACCTCAATTACAACACTAGATAACACCAACAAAAACATGCAACTCAGCTACTCTGTAAACCCTAAATTTTCTCATTAACTAATGTTGATGGAAGTGCATTTAGCCACAGTAATTTGCATGGCAGTTGAATCATTGTTTGTATTGAACAGCATACCTAAGTATTATCAAGAAAAACATGAATATGCCAAATAAGAGTGGGACTGAAGAGACAAGCGTTAGCTCTTTCAATGCAAAGGAGGTGCAAGGTCATGAACAGCAACTAAATTGGTCTATGTAACAAGTGATATTAATTCATTTCTGTTATAGACTCAGCTCTATACACCCATACACCACCTGAATTGTATCCCCTTCTCCTCCAAAGTTATGCATTAGTGTTTCAGGTAGGGCTGTAGCTGCACTTGTACATCACTACATTAGCGTACATGTGGTATTCTATTCCATAAGCATATTCCAGAACAAAGCAGCTAGCAAATATATGTAGTGGTAACAAACTTCCGTAACCCAATTATTGGGAGAAAACAGTGTCACTAATGTGCCTTGCCATGAACTGTCCACTTAAAAGTATAGGAACCCTTATGGGGAAATTTCCTGGCATTTTTCCCTAATACTTGTCAATGGGGACATCTATTCTATTCAAATCTCTGTGTGATTGGGTGGAAGGATCATCTAGTGTTGGTCAGAAAGAGCTTTAAAGCCTTATCCCTGAGAAGGGAACTGACAAAAGACTGACTGCTGGGGAAACTAGTCAGTGAGAAATGGAATAGGGTCCGGTTAAAAATGGTTACACACGTGGAACAGGAAAACTGAATATGAGAAGGGGGAAAGGTATGGATCATTCTTTTGCTGGGAGTTGAACTCAACAGATCATAAGGACTGGACTCCCCAAGAAACAGGGAAGCAGCAATGTTGACACACCTATTGAAGGTACCACACTACTTTCTCTGGTTCAAAGACTCTGGCTGTTTCAATTGTTTTTTAAAAATCCAGCTATAGGAAGCCAAATTTCCCCTCCAAATATGAGGCTTCTGGAATCCTAATTCTTCTGTTGGTTGTCTTTTCAAAGGCCCTCACTTTCTGTTCAGACTCTTTGTGTAGAAGAGACCATTTTCACTTGCATTGGCTGTCCGAGGAAGAGCTAATTACTTCCATGGACTGTTAGGGGACTGGTCATGGTTATTTATTACTTGTGCCACTGATTTCAGTCAGGTTATATGGAATTTCTGATTGTTCTAACTGAATTCTCCATGACTGTGTCAGACTGCTGGCCATGAATAAGTTACACCTAGCAAGGGACATAAATGGTAATAAGAGATTTTATATAAACATTAGGAATAATACATTATATGCAAACAGAATAAAGTCCAGGCCAGTAATATATATATTTGATGCATCAGTAGGGCCAATTTTACAAAGCTGAAAACAATTATAAGCCAAATCAGCTGAGAGAGAGAATTTAATCAGAAAAATTTGAATGATAATTGAGAATCATTTTACACCTTACTAGATGTTAAAAAAACACAACACACAATTGAAGGGGGAAAGTCATACTGGTTTAAAAAACTGACCAGGTTTAGAGAGGAGGTGAAGGCATCTGTTTTTACTTACACACACACACAAGTTGATAGGTCTCAGAATGTAATTGTAAATGGGGAATCGTCATAGAACGTGTGTTTTTAGTGGGGTTCCACAGGCATTAGTTCATGGCCCTATGCTATTTGACATTGTTATCAGTAACCTGGAAGAAAACATAAAATCCTCACTGGTAAAGTTTGCAGATGACACAAAAATTGGAGGAGTGGTAAATAATGAAGAGGACAGGTCACTGGTACAGAGCAATCTGGATCACTTGGTGCAAGCAAATGATATGCATTTTATTATGGCAAAATGTATACATTTAGAAACAAAAAATGTAGGCCATACATATGGGAGGGGAACCCCTATTCTACAAATCAGTAACTCTAAAAAAGATTTGGCTGTGGTGATGGATAATCAGTTGAACATTGTGCCCAAAAGAGCTAATGCAGTCTTTGGATGCATAAACAGGGGAATCTCCAGGAGGAGTAGAGAGGTTATTTTATCACTATAGTTGGCACTAGTGCAACTGTTGCTGGAATACTGCATCCAGTTCAGGTGCCCACAATTCAAGAAGACTGTTGATAAATTGGAGAGGGTTTAAAAAAGAACCACAGGAATGATTAAAGGATTAGAAAACGTGCCTTATAGTGATAGACTCAAAGAGCCAAATCTATTTAGCTTAACAAAGAGACGATTAAGGGGAGACTTGGTTATGGTCTATGACTATCTACATAGAGAACAAATATTTAATAATGCGCTCTTCAATCTATCAGAAAAAGTTGTAACATCGTCCAGTTATAACACAATCAGTGTTGAAGCAAGACAAATTCAAACTGGAAATAAGGTGTAAATTTTTAATGGCAAGGGTAATTAACCATTGGAACAATTTATCAATGGTTGTAGTGAATTTTCCATCACTAGTAATTTTTAAATCATGATTGGAT